AGCCTGCGGAGCCGGCCCGTGTGAGCACGGTGAGGCGGGGCGAGCGGCAGCCCAGGGCGGCCCGAGCCGGCGGGGTGGGGCGCAGTCCCCTCCTCGGCTTCCGCAGGGCCTGCGGGTAAACACCCTGGCCGGTGTCCCGTCGGTTTTCTTGGTGGGCGGAACTAATGCACAGAAACTGTCACTGAAGAATTGTCGAGTGTCGGCGGGGGGCAGCTTGAGACGGGTCTCCCGTCCCGATCCGCTGGTGTGACTCCGGGCTCCTTCCTCCGCAGCCTTCGTTCCGCACAGAGTCCTCCTGTTCCCGACCCCCTGGGATTTCTCTTCCCGAGGTGGCCATGGATGCTTCGACTCTGCCCCCCACACCCTCTTCTCCGAGGTGCAGCCCAGCCCCCCGGACAATCCACATTGAGTTCCCTCATCATAGTTCGTCGCTGCTGGAGTCCCTGAACCGCCACAGGCTGGAGGGGAAGTTCTGCGATGTGTCCCTCCTGGTTCAGGGCCGGGAACTTAGGGCTCACAAAGCGGTGTTGGCTGCTGCTTCTCCTTACTTCCACGACAAGCTGCTTTTGGGGGACGCGCCCCGACTCACTTTACCGAGTGTCATTGAGGCGGATGCCTTCGAGGGTCTGCTGCAGCTCATTTACTCAGGGCGCCTCCGGCTGCCCCTGGATGCGCTCCCTGCCCATCTCCTCGTAGCCAGCGGCCTGCAGATGTGGCAGGTAGTGGATCAGTGCTCAGAGATCCTTCGAGAACTTGAAACCTCAGGTGGAGGGATATCGGCTGGTGGAGGAGCCTCCTACCACACACTTCTTTCCACAACATCTTCGGGAGGCTGGTGCATTCGCTCTTCCCCTTTCCAGAACCCGGCCCAGCCCTCTGCTTCGACAGAGAATTCTGCTGCTACCGAGAGCCCCATTGGAGGGGAGGCGAGTGAACTAGAAGAAGTGTTACAGATTCAGGTGAAAGAAGAGGAGGAGGAGCAGGGGGCAGCAGCCCCGCTCTTTCAGACTCCTCCACCTCAGAGAATATCCGGAGGGTTTTCCCAAGCTTGTGGATCCCACCCGCTGCCTACGTCCGCTCTTCCCAGCAAGCCTCCAGAGGATGAGAGTTCAACCCTTGAGCCTCCTGCCCCTCCTGTACGAGCTCCCCAAGTCTTATATGTTAATCAGGAACCCCTTGAGTCTAAGGAGGAGACGTCAGGAGGTAGGACTCTGTCTGGAGGAGCGAAGGAGAAGACCAAAGCACTCCCTGGAGGGGACCCTGAGGGAAATGAGGAGCTAAGATACTTGCTGTCCTCAGGAGGAGGGGAAACATCTGGGGCAGGAGATCCATCCTGGAAGCCAGTGGATCTTCATGGGAATGAAATCCTGTCAGGGGGTGGAGGCCCTGGAGGATCAGGGCAAGCTGTGCATGGGCCTGTGAAGCTGGGAGGGACACCCCCCGCAGATGGAAAGTGCTTTGGCTGCCTGTGTGGAAAACGGTTTGCAGTAAAGCCGAAACGAGACCGGCACATCATGTTGACCTTCAGCCTTCGCCCTTTTGGATGCGGCGTCTGTAATAAACGCTTCAAGTTGAAGCACCACCTGACTGAGCACATGAAGACCCACGCTAGAGCCCTGCACGCGTGTCCCCACTGTGGCCGTCGGTTCCGTGTCCACGCCTTTTACCTTCGTCACCGGGACTTGTGCAAGGGCCAGGGCTGGGCCACGGCCCACTGGACTTACAAATGACTGCTCGTGCGCTGTGCTGACTTCTAGGATAAGATAGGTGCTGCTGCTGCTGGAGTCTTACCCTTCCCCACCTCGGTCCTGGACTGTGTAGGCATCCCAAGAGATTATATATGTTATGAACCCCTTACTCTTGGATATGGGCCTCACCCTGGTGTACTTGGAAGTTCAGGTTTCTCAATCCAGCTGTTTGTTAAGCAGACTGTAGGAAAGTCATACTTTTGATCACGTAACCTAAATGACCCTTTTCGTATTGATAACCAGTGAGGAAACCACTGACTTCAGATAGGTTAGTGGGAGAAGAGTTGGGACAGAATGACCCAGTAACTTTGACTTCATCTTCCCCAGGAGGTCAGGGAGCTGGTGTCTGATGTGTTTGATTCAGAGCTCAAGTCATTGCCACACTAAGCTCTGAGCGTCCTCCCCGACACCGTCAGCCGCTCTGTTTCTATACATCTTTTTGCTCCTTCTTTCTAGAAGCTTTTTAGGTTGTACTTTGCTTTCTCACCAGTAGACACCTTCCCAAATATCCTTTTAAAAAATGTTCTTGAGTATGCAACAAGTATGGGTGCAGACACATTTAATCCCAGCACTTGGGAGGCAACGGGGGCAGACAGGTCTCTGTGAGCTCCAGACCAACCCGGGTAACATAGTTATCCAACATAAAAGTTTCAGGCCAGTCAGGGCTACACAGTGAGACCTGGTCTTAAAAAAAAGTACTTGAGCACTTTAACACATTGAGCATTTCATATGTGATTCCAAAGCCCCTAAGAGGCCCTTTCCTCAACAGCCTTTGCTCTTGTCTACCTTGGACCACCACTGACAACTTGCTTAATGATCACAGTGACAAATGTGACCAGTGAACTCAGGAGATGGCAACCATTGCTCTCTGAGCAAATTGTCCTGATTAGAAGACTCAGGGTTGAGACCACACGTGGCGAATTGTGCAGAATAACTGTATGGTGAGACCATACTGCCTCCTTTTCCATCCCACCCACATATGCTAGAAACAGCGCCTTTGTAGAGGTGGAGGGGTAGATACTAGAATGGAGGTGAAGGGAGATTTAAAGTCACTTCATTTCATTACTTAATAAACTCTTCCCTGAAATCTAAACTGGCAGTAGCCTGGATTGAGTGATTGATGTGGAAGAGATAGATGTGAGAGCAGAGCTCCCGGAGATGAGTGTGTCCCTTTGCAGCAGTTATGTCGATGGAAGAATGGACCGGTTCACAGACACATCTCAGAGAATGCTGGCCTAGACTCAGGCCTGCCCCACTGCTGAGGAACCTCAGGTAAGTTCTTTATGTTTCAGAGTCTGAGCTGCCTCCGTTTGTTTGAGACCTCACCTTACTATCTCACCAGACTGGCCTCAAACTCATGACCCTCCTTCCCCAGCCTGTTGAATACTGGGATTACAAGCACATACCACCATGCCTGGTTTACGCCACTTTTTGAAAGGGTTTGGGTCATCTATTATATTCTGACATCTTGTATTATGCATAGTGTTTGGATGGTACTTTGGTTTCGTCTACAGATACTTAGAACAGGTTTTCTGTCACTCAAAAAGTGTCTCAAGTGAACAAGAGCACTCACTACCAAAACATGAAGACCTGAGTTCAGATCCCAACACCCACAGAAAAAGAGTCAGTCAGGTGTCAGGTTGACAGGAGGGTTCAGTAGGTGCCTGCTGATGAGCCTGATAACCTGAGTTTGCTCCCCAGAACCCACATGGTGGGAGGAAAAAAACCAACTTCTGCAAGTCGTCCTCAGACCTTCACACGCAAGCCATAGCACATGTGTGCACACACAAATACACACTTTAAAAAAGAAAAAGAAAAACCAGATTTTTGTGGCTAAGCAGGTGAATTCTAGCTTGAATTGATCAAATTCTCAAAAGAGATGTGCTGTGGTCTTCTGCCCTTGGTAAGGAGAGTACATTGGGAAAGAAAGTAGTGAAGGTGTCTTGATTGACTGCAGTCCTACCCACCCACTTGGGTAGGTAGATCATATTAGATAGATAGCTGTATTCCTTGATGTCTTGGTTCCTTGAGTTGGAAGCATTGAAAGGTGGCTCTGGATGACCTTACTAAAATGAGAGTTTATAGAAGAATGGGAATTGGCTCCAGGATTGGAAGGAAGGCACTAAGGAGCCCTGCCTTTGGAAGAAGTTCTTTCAGAGCTCACGGAGCAAGAATCTCTGGGCAAAGACCTTGAGCTCACAACATGTTATTGGGAGTGGTTGGTTTAGAACCCAGAGTGGTCTTGAATTTGCTCTGTACTGGAGGCCTCCTGTGAGTGGCCCTCTCCCCTCTACTTCTGAGTGCTGAGATTATAGGGCACACTGCCACACCAGGGTCATTCTTGGTGGTTTTGCTGTTCGGGGTTTTTTTGTTTGTTTTTAGTATTGGGGATTGAATCAGACTCACACTTGGAATTATGTGCCTCACGACTGAGCCACCAACCCAGCTGATTCTTGTTCCTGTGGCACTGGACTGAAAATAAACTTCTCAGGAGAGGGATGTAAGGTAGTGGTAGATGCTTCCCTAGCAAGTACAAAGGTTGGGTTGGACCTGAGGTTCACAAAATAAAAAAATCTCAATCAAACTCTCAGGCTCATACCTACACTCTGGCTAGAGCACACATCAGTGTGACTAGAATCTTCATAGGAAAAATTAAGTCCTGAGGAAGAAGAGGGAAGGGTGTGTACAGGTCAGCCTGTAACAGCAGAGGCCCAGTGAAAAGTCTCCACCTGTAACCTGCCTTGGAAGCCTTAAAACCTCAGTATACATAGCACTTACCTGAGTATTCAGGAAATGTTGAGCCTGCCCTTGTACCACCATTCAGCCTGTCAATCTTGAGGCAGGGTCATTTCTGATCAAACTCCGTTTGTAGACTAGGCTGGTCCACAACCTATAGAGCTCCTCTGGCCTCTGCCTCCTCAGCACTGGGATTTAAAGGCCATGCCCCACCATGCATGGCCCTCTTTAATCTTTATAATACTTAGTTATCCTATGAAACAAACTGTTTTTAGACATTGCCTGGCACTGCAATATTCTTGAAGCTTTGTTATTTGAATCTGATGTCTTTGTGTTCTGGACACATCTTTGCTGAGCGCCCTCCCTCCCCTCAAGCAATTTTACCTGTTAGTCACTATATAAAAATTAAACTGGGGCTGGAGAGGTGGCCCAGCAGTTAAAGAACACTTCCTGCTCTTCCAGAGGACCAGGTTCAATTCCCAGCACTCACATGATGGCTCACAACTGCCTCTAACTCCAGGCCCAGGGGATCCAACTTCCTCTTCTGGCCTCCTAGGGGGCCAGGCATGCACATGTAGACAAAACACTTATAAATAAATGAAAATTTTAAAAATAAAAACATAACTACAGTTAGAGATTGAGACTGTTGTGCTGAGCTGAACTTGGTGATGCAGGAGGAGCAGGAATTCAAAGTCAGCTTCAACTACATGGAGAGTTTACAGACAGCCTGGGCGGTATGACACTCTGTAAGAAAATAAAGATAGAAAACAGACTGTTATGCCTGGATCCCTTTTCAAACATTAGCACCCCGAGAGACAATTGCTTCCAAGAATAGTAACCTGGATAGTATCCCTAATGTCCTTCACAGCAAAAATCAAGAGGTCAAGTGACCCTTACCATCTCAAATCCTTAACCATTGTTGATATACAAGGTATATATATTTAAACTCTGTGTCTGTGTGTGCACACACACACAAAGAAGGCTCTGAATTTCCTTTCCCACTCTCCACTTAGGGCTCTGAGGCAGTCCATGCTTGTATTCGTGTGTGTGTGTGTGTGTGTGTGTGTGTGTGTGTGTGTGTGTGTGTGCGCGTGCGCGCGTGCGTCCCCAATATTTTATGGCTGTAGTCATGATAGTGGCCTCAAGAACATAGGTTTGACTTTGTTTTTGTTTTTTTGTTTTTGTTTTTGTTTTTTTCAAGATGGGGTTTCTCTGTGTATCCCTGACTGCCTGGAACTCACTCTGTAGACCAGGCTGGCCTCGAACTCAGATCCACCTGACTTTGCCTCCCAAGTGGTGGGATTAACAGAGTGCACCACCACCGCTCAGAGGAAAGTAAGATTTTAATTGGGCCTACTTATTACTTGGAGGGGGTTTAAATAATTTTACATTTTCCTCCTGATACTTGCCTTTTGGCATGTCATTACATTGCTAATTACCTCCAATTGACGTTTGCATAGAAGTCCCTCTGTTACACAATTAAATGAACTATGTGGAGCTGGGGATGTGGCTCTGATGTAGAGCACTTGCCTAGCACAGGCCAAGGGTTCCATCCCAGCATCATAAGCCAGTGTGGTGCTACATACCTGTGATCCCAACACTCCACATGTAGAGGCAGGAGGATTAGGAGTGAGCTTGAGACCAGCCTGGGCTACATGAGACCCTGTCTCAAAACTAAAGGCACTATGGAAATTTCCTTTGTATTTGAATCAAAATGCAAAAAACATAACTGAAACTACAGTTTGAGCTCAGAAAATACATCTGTCCATCAGAATGCCATGAAGACTTGGCTTTAATTTGACGACACAGGGCATATAAGAGGCACCTTGATTCAGACAGCTTTGAGTGTAAATTTTCCATATAAGCACTCTTTTGCATTATAATTTCAGGTTAAAGCCACCAAGAAACATTACCGTATCTGTAGCAAGAGCTAATTTCTAGAGCCATCAGTGTTTGATAATGGTAGTTACGTCAGTTGAGTTTCTGTGGATGAAGAGAACCGACGGGTATATGTATGCCTGTCCTCAGAGCCTTGAGGAATTGCCTTGAAGCTGTGGCGAGGGCATGTCTGCAGTGTGCAGGGCAGGCAGGCAGGATGCTTATGGCGTCTTGAAGCAGAATTCTCCCTTTTCTAGGAAATCGCTTTGCTCTTACAGCCCTTGGCTAAGTAGCCAAGGATCACCCCCTCCATGGAGGGTAATCTCTAGTAGCCAAGGATCACCCTCTCCATGGAGGGTAATCTATATGTAGTCAAGGATGACCCCCTCCATGGAGGGTAATCTGTGTGTACAGCCAGTTGACCTTAGGCGTTAGCCTCAAGACAATGTTACGGTGATATCTGGACCAGGGTGTAACTGAACAGCTGGGTACCACACACCTTGTCCAAGGTGACAGTCTTTGGTTACAAGAGGCATGTCCAGCCTCTGCTCTGAGCTCAAGTCAGAACGAAGGTTCAGTACCCCTAAGTCCGCTGGCGCCCTGAGTGATAAGGAAAGCCAGACTATTCGGCTTTTCTTTTTAAATGTTTTTCTTTTTTATTGCATTTGTTTAATTATGTGTGTATGCGCGTGTGTGCACACACTGCTTGCATGTGGAGGTCAGGACAGCATGCAGTCAGCTCTCTCCTGCCGCCATGTCAGTGCTGGAGCACAGACTCAGGCTGTCAGCCCCGGCAGCAAGCTCCTTTGTCCACTGAGCTGCCGTGGTGGGCTCTCCCTGTGTCTCCAGGAGTCCTAGCAGTTATGCTGTGTTGTACCTTCGTCCCTGTGCCAGGAACATCACTTAAAGTGAGGACACACTCAAGGAAATGTGTTCTTTGGTGATCTTGCCATTGTGTGAATGTTGCAGAACGCTTGTGCAAACCGAATGGTTTGTGGAATGTACCAGTATGAGAGCCTGTGTTGACCGAAGCATTTACATGGCATGTGGCTGTGACATAGGAACACTGTGGAAACTATCTAGCTTTTGTTGGTTTGTTTGTCCCTAGAGTCCTGGCTAATCTTAAGCTCACTGTGATGGCCTTGAACTCCTGGTCCTCCACCTCCACCTCCACCTCCACCGTGTGTACTCCGGCTCATACCCATCCTCAGATGGTGAGCCTCCCTGGAGAGCCTCAGGCAGTCCATAGGTTTGTTTCCTGTGGCTCAAATCCTAATTGGTCTTAATAATGAAAACCCAGACTCAGATACCAGGGTGAAAGCTGGAAGATGAGAGAAGCAGAGTAGCAGCCACTAGAGACTTCTTTCCTCTAGGAATCCTCAGACTGAAAGGGCCGAGCTCCTGTCTCCTCCCGCCTTATATTCCTCTCTTCACCCAGCCCTGCCACTTCCTGTCTCCTCCTCCCAAGTGCTGGGATCA